TTTTTTTTTTTTTTCGTTTAACACGAAAATCAGGTAAATGAATCTTATTTTGACCACGTATACAAGAGACGAGTTTTCTTTTTGTTCGAAGAATATTAAGAAGTTCCCCGCTTTAGGAGAGTCGAATTCTCGAGGTGAAACGCGCACGTCGTGAATCTAAAACCTAAATTTTCTCTCCTTCTTTCTCTCCATAGCCATGTGAAGCAAGCGACAAGAATTTCTGTTCTATTCGCACAATTTAAACTCGAGAAACATCCTATATCCGATACGTGCTGTAACTTGGCCTCGCCATATCGGGAACACGATCGCGGCTGGGAATCGCTTATCAGGGTAGCAGTAACTGTCCATTCGGCGACGCTAGAATACCAATCGATTGGCCTCTTAAGGTCTTGCAGGATGTTTCTTCTCGTTTATTAATCAGGTCACTCGGTTATCCACGCGCGACCAATGTTTCCACAAATCCGTTTCTCCTTTGTATACAGATACTTTACCATTGATTTTGTTTTATTTTGATGTTCCAATAGAGATTCATCTTTCCAGATTGTTATAGTAGTAGCGATCTTCATCGCTACCACCCTTGCCAAAGATGAGTCCTCGAAAAACCGCGGTAAGAGACAACAGGTTGCATTTTATCCAAGGAGAGGAGCCAGACCGCCACCTTATGCGGTCCAAATGGAACCAATCGTCCAATATTCTCAGAGAGACCCGCTCTATAATCCTTTGGCGAGCTCTAAGAGCGACGATTTTTACGAAAAGGGTCCACTCAATTATTACCCGACCGAGCCGGAGCCAATCATCGAAATTATCATCAAGGAGTCCAACGAATCTCTGCCGACACCGGTACCTCCACCTCCACCTCCATCGCCAAGACCTACGAAAGAACCTATACAAGTGTTCTATGTGAAATACGAGAAAAAGAAGGGCTACGGGGATAAATCTCGTGTCGTCTACGATCCACCTGTACCCGCCCTGACACCTGTCGAGGATCACGAAGAGATCAAACCAGATAACCCAGCGCCTTATCCGGAAGAACCTGTTCACACAGTGACACCGACACCATCAGAACCTTCTACCACTCTAAGAGCTATCATTCGACCCGACAGTGAAGTATACCACTCTGGTTCTAGCGGTATTCGTGTCACCTTTGGCACGGAACAAGTGCCTCCGAATAATCACAATAAGCGTAGCGATTTGGACGCTCCGCCTACCCAACAACAGGCCAAACCAACTTCTACTCCTCCAGGATCGCCTAAAAGACAACACGGTCCATATCAACCGATTCAACCGATCCATCAACGAGTACCGCCAGCATTTCCGCAACAGAGGATCGCCAATTCTTTTCCACAGCAACAGGCGCTCCATCAACCTCTTCCACAGCCGCCACCTCTAAATTTTTTGCAGCAACAGCAGCCATCGTTTTCTCCTCCGCAAGCGAGAAGTCCGTTGCAAAGGCCTCAGCGTTTACCCATAACGATTCAAGGTTTGCCCGAAGTGCAACAACGAGCTCCGTTCAATAATTTTGGTACATCCCATCGTGTCAACATTAATCATCCTCAACAACCAGGATTCCCACCTACGCTGTCGGTTTCTCATCAGAACGTACAGTTACAGAATCAACCTTTGCCACCGAATCAAGGCAGTTCTTTCAACGTGGAGCAACAACCTCAACAACAAGTACCTTTGTCACCGTACAAACAACAGGAATTAGAGAAGCAAAGGTATCACGAGCAGCGTCGTCAACAGGAATTGCTAAAGCAACGAGAGCATCAAAGACAGCACGAGCAACAAAGACTCCAGGAGCATCAACGATTTTTAGAGCAGCAAAGGCTTTTGGATCAGCAAAGACAACAAGAACAACAGCGACAGCAAGATCATCAGAGATTGCAGGAACAGCAAAGAATACAAGAGCAACAGAGAATACAAGAGCAACAAAGAATACAAGAGCAACAGAGAATACAAGAACAACAGAGGATCCATGAACAACAAAGAATACAAGAGCAACAGAGATTACAGGAGCAGCAAAGATTGCATGAACAACGCAGAAGGAAACAAGAACAGGAGCAGAAATTATTGCAGGAACAGCAATATCGTGCACAATTAAAATATAATCAAGCACAACCGCCGAATATACCGCAAATACCAATTTCGCCTCAAATTCAAAAACCTGGAGGAGAAATTTTCAAAGCTGTTCCGAAACTCGAGCAACACTATGCGATTCGAGAAAATCCAATTCATCCCGGCCCTTTCCCACCTAATCCTGTAATACAGCCAACCGGGTTCTCAGAAACTTCACAAAATCAATACGTTTCCGCTCAACCATTGAGTTCATCGGATATTTTAAGAAATCCACCGAATGAATTTATAACCGATCAACAGCAGCACTTGAATACGAAACAACAAATCATTCAAAATCAGCAACAAGGATTTTTCTCGCAAAGTCTTCAACAACAGCAACAACAGCCACAACAACAACAACAACAGCGTTTCTCTGCGTCTCCTCAACGATCTTCGATCTGGAGTCGTCCATCGTTCTCCGGAAATAGCGCGAGTTCTTCTCAAAAAATTTACGCGACCCCGGTCAGTCCTTTGGAGGATTTCAACTCGATTTCGACGATCAGATCTTACGTTTCGAGTACGACAACTTCTACCACGACAACAACAACGACCACCGAGGCTCCAACCACAACTACAACTCTGTCTCCAAAGAAGGAGGCAAAAATTAAAGAAAATATTGCCAATTTACCAGATGAGGTGCCGGATGATATCAGAGAGCAGCTGCTCAGTTCCGGTATTTTGGGTAACGCCGACATACAAATACTTGATTACGACAAGGTCGGCGACATACCGATAGAGAAACTACCGCCGGAGGCCCTGGCGAATTTCTACGGCGCCGGAGGCGGCTCCGCGGTAGCTGCCAGCGAACCGGTCCCGTCGATCGTCAAGAAACCCAAAACGGCAGAGAGCGCGTCTTCCTCGACTTCCACTTCCTCAACAGTTTTGGCGAACAAGTCGGCTGCTGACAGCTCGACTAAGTTCGAGCAGGCCACCTTGCGGCCAGGTGGAGTGGAGATGAAAGTAGTACGCTTCGATCCGAATACGGAGCAAGGACAGGCTCTGGCAGATCAGCACATACGCGATGATGCTACCAGATTGAATCCCGTAACCGTGGGAGCGAGAGATGAATCCCAATATAATCGTTATTTACCGCTCAAAGTGAGTGGTGCATCCTTCCCCATCCCAGACGTACCGCAACTTAATGGTCGGAAGATCTCTAGTGTGGTTGTATTGGCACCTGTTGACTATAACTTTCAAGAAGATAAAGAGATCGAATCGAGACAAGGTAGGAGGGTGAGCGATGTCCAAGCAGTCAAGTTTCTCGCTGGTGACACTCTGAAGCAGCTGGTGAAAAAACCAACTGCGGAGAATTACAAGAAGTGGTTGGAACAGGAGAGCCGTACGGAACCGCAGAAACAGTCAGTGGTACTATTGGTAACCACGTAAGTGATAAATGCGAATTCGATGCCATAACTAACCACGCTTACTTACGCTCCGTTCACCTTCGTTAACTCTTTCAATCGCTTCAAATGATGCGTGCAATTATTCTGTAACGAACCATATTTTCTTCCATCTCATAAATGTTCCTTTCGATCCACTTCCGTGAACGTTTTCCAGTTAATAACTATCGAAACTATCACCGAGCTTCGCTTTCTTTCGATTTTCAAATAATATTTAATGATGTTATAGGCCAAAAGACACGGAGCAAGGTGAGAAAGAGATCTTCATGTATGATGTTGTCTCGCAAACTGTGAGCAAACTTGCTGGAGATCTGTCCACAGCGTTTGTAGATGCTGCCGAAAGTAATTCAGACAATACTGATTCTCTCACCGATTCAACTTTTTCGTCATATTGAGTGCTACGTGAATGAATAATACAAAAGATGAGATCTACTTAATAAATAAAAAAAGAAAAAAGGTTTACCGTGCCAAGTCCGAAAATAAAAACTCCTGTCATCTCGTATAATTTAAGATTACAACGAAATCGAAACAAATTTAATAAAAGGTAAAGAACATAAAAATACAAATATCCTTGTAGATACTTTAAATGTATTATTATGTATATATTGATTTTATACTTTTTTATATGAAATAAACGCAATATTTTTTTTACATGAAAATCTTTTGCTATCTTACTTAATATGAATTTTTTAAAATTTCAAAATAATTTTAATCAGGAATATATTTGTTAATTCAAATTAATTTAGATATTAAAAAATTAGTTATAACTTTAATTAAATTCAACAAGCGCAATTTAAATTTATTGCTTTTGATAAAATAAAATAAAAATTATTTATGTAAACTTCTATAAATAATAATATCTTTTATTGATAATTTCATTTTTTCAATTTCATTAATTTCAAGTTTTAGAATTAGTATTATTTATTTATAAAAAAATAAATTAACGATCTTTTAACGATCTTTAACGATAATTTAATTAATAATGTTATATATATTTTTAGTACTTTAAAATTTTTGAATAAAATAATTAATTTTTAATTGTTAACATTATATATAACATTATATTTTTACAATAATTACGATTTTTAAAAGTATATTATTATGTACTTACGTAAATGTAATATCTATATTTTTTATACAAAAACATTACGACACATCATTTTAAAACAAAAATGATAGAATATTATCGTATATTATTAAAATCAAATATATATAGACATTAAGAAAAATAATGTAAGAAATAGCATAAATATTGACTATTAGTGCCATCTTTTGAGTATCGAAGATATCAAAATCTTATCTTCTAAAAATACTCAAGAGATAGCGCTAATGATTTATTCCAATTTTATTTCTATCCTTCTTTTATTATTTACTCTCTTTGTCTTCTCGTTGTTTCATTTGCGGCACTCTGAAGATGGCGTTAATTCTCTAATTTTTACGTTTTCTATCCTTTTCTTACTATTCGTTCTCTTTATCTACATTTGAGTGAGTTTTATCGATACACTAGAGATGGCGCTAATGACACGATTTTTATTCTATTTTTGTCCTTCTATTGTTCTTGTCTAAATTTGTTTTACAAAATTATTTTATTTGTCAAAATTATTGATTAAATATCTTAATATAATCTATTCGATTCAATTTTTGTTTTTTTCATATTTATATATCATGTAATAATATTTTATATACATTTATATATATTCACTTTCTTATGTCGTAAAGAAATGTATCAGGTTAAAAAGCAATGTAAAGAAATTATTTTTTAAATTGGTTGATTTTACCAATTTCTATGATTGAATTGAATTGTTTTATGTTGTATCTTTTATTTATTGTTCTAAAAAACATATCAAACATTTTTTGCGATATTTCAAAATGTAGGATACAAAATATCATTAAATGTAAATCTATCCTATATTTCATCAATGCTAAAAGACTATGGTATAAAATATAATATGATATATAATATGATAAGTATTCTAGAATTTACTAGGGAATTATTGAAATACAACATAACAATATATAGTTATATTTTATTATTTTAAATTTGGTACGCATAGTTGCGAGTACGCATGTGTTTCATTTGCCACCAATAAGGTAGTTAATATTTTTATAAAATTGAAATCTAAAATATATCTTGATATTAACTGAAAAACGTAAGAATAAACGTATAATTTTTTATGTTTGCTTATTAATAATATTTTAATTATTTCAAACAAAATGTTTTTAACAAGTTGTATTATTATTATTTTATAGGTTATCTTGCTCTCATCGTTTTACATCAAAATGTTAAAAGGGTGATTTGCCAATATTCTGTTAAAGGAATTATATTATATTGAATATAAAAATGTCGAGCAGCAGTTCTGAAAGTAGTGATGATAGCCGTCATGAAAAATCTAGGAAAAGACATAAACATAAATATCCTAACCAAGAAAGACGATCGAACAGAAAGGAATTGTGCAACAAGAATAAAAGTTACAGAGATAGGAGAGAAGGTAGGGACGTTCACAAATTTAGCAGAGAAGTAAGAAGAGAAAATAATGATATACATCGTGATAGATCACAAGGCGAACGGGATAGGGCATATAGGGATAGTCGACATGATCATCCAAGGAGGGAGGATGATAGGCAATATGATAGAAGAAGATATGACAGATCACCTTTAAGAAGAGAAGAATCTCGTCCAAGACACAGAGATTATGAGGAGAAAACTAAAAAGCACAGAGAATCTATGGAATATACTAAGAAACATGACAATGTAAATAAAGAAACAAGGAATAATTTTGAAGAGGTAAAAGTAAAAAAAGAACCTTCACCAGAATGGGGTAAACCTATTGTTAAAACAGAACTTAAACCAAAGCCACAAGAAAAAGAGAAACCAAATTTTGAATTATCTGGAAAATTAACAGAAGACAGAAATACTGTTAATGGTGTAGTAATTAAATATTCTGAACCTCCAGATGCAAGAAAACCAAAACGTAGATGGAGATTATATCCTTTCAAAGGAGAAAAGGCATTGCCTACATTATATGTACATAGGCAATCAGCTTACCTTATGGGAAGAGACCGTAAAGTTGCTGACATTCCTTTAGATCATCCTTCATGTTCTAAGCAGCATGCTGTTTTACAATATCGTTTAGTATCTTTTCAAAAAGAAGGTGGTGGTGAAGGAAGAAGAGTTCGTCCTTACCTTATAGATCTAGAATCTGCAAATGGTACATTTGTAAATAATGTAAAATTGGAACCAAGAAGATACCATGAATTATTAGAAAGAGATGTAGTACGATTTGGATTCAGTTCTAGGGAATATGTTTTATTACATGAACATAGTAAAGATGATTCGTTAGATGATGATGTTCCCTTAACAACTACAAATGCAACTACTGTTACTACTACTGCATAGGTATTATTTTTTAATTTATAATATTTATTAAACGTTTTATTTCTTTTAGAAGTTAAGATATTTATATATTTTATTTCAGGATTTTACTGTAAAATATTTAAGAACTTATAAAATATTTTAAATATATTATCTGAATATATAATTTACTTATTAGGACAAATTATAAGGCTAAGTTATGATTCTTTTTAAGTAAAAAAACTATAAAAAAAATTAATCAATTCTTATATAGAGTATTAATAATAATATAATATTTGTTTTATGAAATTTTTTCTTAACAAAAAAAATTGTCAGCACACAAGTTTCACATTTTATCTAATCAGGAACAAAAATTGATTGTAAAAAATCATTTTTGAAATACATTGAAATTTATTCATTTATATTTAGAAATTTATTTACCCAACTTAAATAGTAAATTTTGTATGTTATATGCAATTTTATAACAGTATTTGTATATTGTATAGATATGTATATATAAAATATACAAAATTTATGTAGAAATTATTTTTTTAATATATTTTCTAATATAATTTTGTAAAAATATTTACAAAATTTGATTTTCTTACTTACAAACCACAAAATTTATAATATTATATAGACAATATATAATATTTTTTTTAAATAAAAGAATTAAAAAATATAATACAAAAATTATGAAATTATTTTTTTTATTTAATTTCCAAATACTAAATAGCATTTATTGATGTTCGTATCTTAATTTATAAATTCTTTTACCAATTCTATTTTTATAAACTATTTAGTCTTTTAATGTTCTAAGTAAAGAAAATTTCAGGCTTATTCTTATTATCCTATATTTCACAATAATTCTCTGGATGGATATTTATAATATTATTTTAATACTTTCATGGAAAAAATTATTGAAATTCAAAAAATATCAAATTTATATTAATAAAATATTTACACTCTTTGGATTTTATTGCTAATAAAATAATAATAATGAAATTTTAAAATATAAATTTCAAAAATTATCAGTTCAGTCACATTAAATTTAATCTTGTAATTAATTGTACTATTTTAAAAAGAATCACTATATTTATATGTAAAACTTAACAAATGTTTAATGTAATATGAATATCAATTTTAATGCTATATTTTATACTATAACTAAATATGAATTTGTACAATGAACAGTGAAAATTTAATCGTACTTTTGCGTCATTAAATAAATACATTAGTTACACTAAAGTAGTATCAAAAACTATTATAGATTAATCACGTATAATACTCTACAACTATTCTCGTTTCTTAGATACTAAACAATAAATTTGATTATCTGATTATTAACTAAACCTATTACTAAAAATCTTCTGCCACAATTTATGTAAAATAAATTTCAAATATTTAAATCTAAAATATGTACATATACATTAATATGGCAGTTTAAAGCTATGGAACTTTATACATGTTTCCAGTTTTGATTATGATTGATAATTATCATTGAAATTATAGATTCTGTTATAGAAACATATTTTAAATGATAATATCTATTACATCTTTAACAATTTCACGATCCATTTACTCTTACAGCATCCGTATTAATGTTCGTATACGTAACTATATTGTTACTATCTTCAACAACTGGAGTCTGTCTTAACAAATTTAATAATGCACTGTTTATCACTAAAGGTATATTAGCTTTACCATTTTGTAAATTAGAATGACTTCTTTGAATTTTCGGTAATGTATTCTTCGCGACGTTATCAGTTGATTCACCAGTTCCTCCAATAACACAATTCTTTAATGGAAGAACATTTTGTGAACTAATTAACGATGAACTAGGTCGAGTAGGTGGTGCTAAACTAATATTCGAGCTTAAAGAACTAGAGCTTCTACCTTCTAAACTTATTTCAGATCCCCGTCGTTCAGTTACATTTCTTTTATTTTTCCGTTGATCAGTCAATGATGTAAATGAATCTCTTTTTAATATCGCTTTAATAGTAGGATTAGTTAATTTCGAACTATCTAAAGTATTACATTTCTCAGTCATATTTGTGATCGATGCTCTTTTACGTTCTGATAAATTTAAACTAGATATCGATGATCTTTTATCACATTTTTTTTCCAATTGTTCTTTAATATCATTCGAAATGATATCTTTTTGTTCTTGCGATGCATCAGAATGCAAATTACTTTTTACATCTACGTTTGTACTAGCTTTATTTGTATTGGCTAAATTTTGATCGGATATGTGAATTGATCGTGGCACTTCGTATCCGTTTGTTGAATTTTCTTTTAGAATAATATCTTCGTTATCTGCTAATAATTCTAAATATTTTGGCATTTCCCCTGATTGTGATGTAGGTGTTGCATTATGAGAATTCTGAAGGAATGGTTGCATATCTCGACTACCTTCTGAACTGCTGGATTTCCATGAATTCCCTGAGAAAATTGATCTTATTACATTCAATTTCAATAAATAATTTTGATATGAATTAACGAGTGAGTAGAATAGAGACATTGATCGAGAAAGCAGGATACATACAGATGAGTTTCACGAAGAGAACCTACCTGAATTGTTATGATTTTGGTTCTCGTCAGCAAAGTAAGCCATGTTAGAGACGCCTGCAAGCATGAGCCATGCAATGATAAATATATATTCAAGCAAATTGTTAAATTTATATATTGAACACTTTAATGGTGATGCATCTTGTCGAGTTGAATCATAATTATTGAACATGATTATGTTCGAAACAATATGTTCATTTTATGATATGTGAAAAATAAATTGAATTTTTTAAATACATTCATTTATTAGATAATTCTATTAGTCAAAAAAGCAGTTATTAGCTTATTTAGAAATTAAATTTTACTATAAAACTATGAAAATCGTATAGATATACGATTATATCAATAAGCAATAGGAAAGGTTTTAGTCATAAATGATTGAACATTTTTAGGTGAATTTTTTTATATCATCCCCCAATTCAAAATAAAAACTTTTAACTTTTAATTTTGCAAACATGTCAAAAAGTTGATGCAAATGTACATCTTTAGACTGAAATGCATGTGAGGGGTGAGATAAAAAACATTGAACTTTGTAAGAACCATTCTAATAAGCGATCTGAAATCTTATAAGCTAAAATGTGTTTGCTCAATTGGCAATTAATACATTTGAAAAAAAATGTAGATTTATGTTCCATGCCAGAGAATCATATAATGCAAATCTATATATAATAAAAACTTACCCCTTCTAGATAAGTAATAACTAGCAACTGGATTTAATTGCGCATCCTCTATAGTACTTCGAAGACTAACTATATTTTCTAGACAAACTTTAAAACTTGGTCTGGTATCAACATCGCTCCAACAACGCAACATAAGTTGATGTAACGCGAGTGGACAATTCAAAGGTTTGGACAATCTTCCACCTGCACGTACATGATGCAATACTTCGATATTTGTTCTGGCAGGATACGGTTGTTGGCCCAACGACGTAATTTCCCACATTAATACACCAAATGCCCAGACATCACTCTGCGAGGTGAATACACCATCTACTAAAGATTCAGGTGCCATCCATCGAACAGGAAGTAATCCTTCTCCTTCCTATGATGGAAATTGAAATATTTATTTTATCTTTTTTTATTTTATACTAAAAATTATTATTAGATTATACAGAATATTTACTTTTCGATAATAATCGTTTTTGTATATATCTCTAGCAAGTCCAAAATCACCAATCTTAACAACACGATTCTCTCGATCTTTGGCCGATACCAAACAATTTCTACACGCAAGATCTCTATGTACAAAATGAAGCTCTTCTAAGTAACGGCATCCTCTTGCTACATCTTCACACATGGCAAGTAAATCTTGCAGTCGTAACGCGTGTGAATCCGATGGTTGCAGAGATCGACTTGCCCTTAAATAACTCAACAAGTCCCCAGCCTCCATTAGTTCCAACACTAATAACGGTGGATCCGTATCTAAGCAAACTCCTAAAAGTCTGAGTACATGTTTATGTCGAAAATGACTCATGAGTCTAGCTTCCTGAAGGAATTCTGTCTTTTCTTGAGCCGAAGCTCCCTTTCGAAGCGTTTTAATTGCGACTGGTGTAATTCCTGGCCTTTCCAAATCCTTCGCATTTCCTTGAAATACCTAAAAGATTTTGATATTTACAATAATGATATAATTTTACAATCTCACGAAGTATTTATAATTTATCACTTACTTCTCCGAAAGCTCCACTACCCAAAAATTTCGCTAATGTTATTTGTTCCCTTCTAATTTTAGGAAGGGTAGAATCGTCCGAATCGTTTTGCAATGTAGACGCGTATAACGCGTTGGATTGAACGAAATTTCCACGTGGTATCTCTCGAAGTGTCGCTAATTCGACATCGCTTACTAATGGAGGTAAGACCGCCTTTTTATCTTCTTTGCGTTGTCGGTACACTGCTGGATTACAAAAAAAGAACTTATCTTTTACAGTACTGTCGATACGACTTTTTATAAATTTAAACAAGAATTATTTTAAACGTTAAAAAATATATACTTTATTTATAATTATCATACACTTACGGCAAAGGAAATAACAGGAACAAATGAGCATAATAATGATAACAGGAACGCTAAGTCCCAACACTAAACCAAGATGTTGTTGAGCCGCTAATATCCCTCCGGTAGCTTCCGTTAAATCAATGATCGGGCTGGATCTGCTCCAACCACCGAAACCGTACGCGTTCCTAGCTTGAACTCGAAATCTGTACTTGTCATCCATGTCTCCTGTGATTATCCAGTAATTGTCTGTACCATTGTAATACAACTTCCAACTTGCGTTCCCAGTCGAGTCTATTTGCTCGTTAATCTCATTGATTTTCATCCCTTCCACACGATATAACGTGATTTGCGAACCATGAGCTTGTGCCGGTTTCCAATTCAATTGATAAACTGAATTACGAAGTTTGGTTACCGTAGGCATACCAGGAGCACTCGGTACATCACCTATTTTCCAAGTGAATTCAAAACGATGTATCATTGTAAAGAAAGCAAGGAGGTTAAACTTAAAATCAAAGTTTATTACCTAAAGTTTGAAACGTGAATCTTCCATCAGTTGGCCATACGAAATCCTTCTTGTAATTAGGATATCTCAGAAGTAAGTGGAATTTGTACAAAGTTCGAGGTTGCAGTTTCTTGATAAAATACGTCACTTTGTCCTTATCTACCTTGAAATCGTTTGCCACTTGCCAATCTTCCATGGCAACATCTTTATACTCTAACGTATATCTGACCATCAAGTTGATCGTTGGTATCCAAGATACGTTCAAGCTATTTACGCTAACTCCAGTTAAAGTTAAATTATTGGGTTCCGGATACATTTTAACTACTTGACTTGAACTTTCACTGTAAACATCGTTGACGTGAGTGGGATAAGCACGGACGAACACCAGATATTCTTGATCGGGTAACCACGGTTCTAACATGGTGAAGTATCTACCGTCCGTAGTACGCTCCGTACCCTTTATAAACTCTCCCTTCTGTCGTGCCCCATTTATTAATCGAACCAGTCTCCAATGCACTTCGTATCTCACTGCTGGGGCGTTTAATATTTTTGGCGGCATCCAATATACAATGGCCAAAGTTGGCGTGAGTGCTTCGACAGTGACGTTTTCTGGAGCCGTAGGTGTTCCTGCTTCGGTTTGTAATACAACACCGGAACCAAATTCTAAGCTCATCGATTCCAAATTGGCATAATAATTACTCAAAGCCAGTTTCAATCCATAATTCGTAAAAGGCTTCAAATCCTTTATTTCGTATTCTTTGTTGTAAGTTTGTAACTTTATCCTATCGCCGCTCTCGCACATATTAGGATCATTTTCTAAACACTGAGATACGTATATCGTGTACAATGTGGTGGGTAAACTGTATCTTTCGCAACCAAATTGTGGAATAGGCTCGGGAAGTCTGACGGTAATACTGTTTGCCGATTTTTTCATTTCTTCCACATTGTAGGATACTTGATGAGGGATCAAACAGTTCGTGATCGGATAGGTTTGCAAGGATTTTCCAAGAGCTTTAATGCTTCGTACGGATGGCAAATAGAAGCGTCTGATCTCCGCGTCATCGGGATATTTTTTATTTACAAAGTAAATCTGATCTTCCGCGATATTGGACCAATAAATATTCATCTTATCGACCGTTAATGATTTTGGCGGTAATCCTTTATTGAAACTCGCGCTTGCTATCAAATTACATGCACAACCATCGATATCGGCGATATTTAAGTGACCTTCTAACGAAATCCAATACATGACCGGTTTCTGAAAATTGGTACTGTCGATGGTCATTACAGGACTAACGGACGGTCTGTAAGGACAGGAACAATCATCTATATAATTGAAGAACGGTTGAATGTCTCTCCCGTCTAAATTAGATTGCATTATTATCCCGCCATCTTTTTTAGTCTCTATCCAATACAATGATCTGTAATAGATTAAAACAGATTATAAAATAAACTTAAAGGACACGTTGAAAAAGATTCTGTAAAAATAGTAGCTACCCTGTGGATGGTAATATATCAAGATTTACGATACGTCTGCTCGACGTGACGATACTTTCATACTTGAGAATTCCAACTTGCCACATGGTTAAGTCTAATTTCATTATGCGTCCGCCATTTTCTTTATAACTCAACTCAGACCAGTAAAGATGCCTCGCAACCCAATCGACAGTTATGCTAAGTGCACTATTGTTTAATGCCAACATTTTAGTAGCATTTGATCCATTCAAATCCGATGTTACCAGTTCCCTCATTTCGTTGATCCAATAAATCTTGCTCTCTGCAGCCAGATAAGTAACCTCGACCGCGATATGTCGAGTAATTGTATAGTTCACTTCCTGATCTAAATCGGATATTCTAACCGCGTCCATTGTAGCGACCAACAATTGTGGCACCGGATTTTCGTATATCGTGGAAATGTTGATCACGTCTGTGTACAATCCTGCGCCAATTTTCGTATGGGCTCGAACTTGAAAATAATATGTCATATTTGGCAAGAGGTCTTGAACGGTGTACTCTAACAATGTGGATGGGATAAGTGATTGATCGCAGATTTGTATCTCGACGTTGTGCTCCTTGAACCAACATTGTACCGTATACCCTGTGATCAGACCATTCGTGAACTCGGGCTGATCCCATCTGTAAATCAATCGTCAATCATTTGAAATAAATAAATTCTACTAACTACGATAAATATCATCATCATTTACCTAAATATCGCAAATATATCAATGTTTTCGCTCAGCGGTTCTTTATGGAATTCTATAAATGCTCTGGAATTCGTTGGCTGACTCGGAACACTCTGCGGTGATCTCAATATCTTTCTCGTATGATGAGCCGTTTCCCAATACGTAAACGCTTTTACAGTGACTTCGAGAACCGAATAAGGTAAAATCTGTTCGGAATTATTGTAAGGCATCGATGTTTCCGTAGTTATTTCTGGATTTGAATTGGTGTTGATATAATCCGCAAATTTCACTTCATAAAACACAGTCCCATAATTGATATTCTCCACCGGATCCCAGGATATGTTGAAGTTTCTCCATGTTCCTTCTACTCTAATACTGTCATAATTGACGGCGTTGGGCAATACCGTTACAGTCTCGGATGTAAAGTTCTTCGGATATTGATGGAGTGCCGGATCCATGATAGCTACCATGTGAAGGCCCGACAAAGTGATACCATTTATTATAGCCGTGTTTTGGCCAGACAAATCGCCTATCACCGCATTCCGATCGTCTTGAAGCCAGAGAAGATGTTCTGAGAAGTAGCATAAAGGACCTTGCATGTTTGGATGTTGCAGAGCAGAGATCTTAAAAGATAATATCAAAGAAAAAGTATTATTATAATTTCCTTTTTCATAAAATTTATTTGAAATATAATTTAACGATAAAAACCTTTTCAGGCACGATTTTGTGGCTCATAGAAATCCTCTCAGACGTTGGTGCTCGATAAACAATAGATCCACTTTCGTAACTCCGAACGATCCAATAAACGAATCTGTTTTCTGTGTCCAATGTTAACCCCATCACTTGTTTTCCATTAAATATTTCATCCGAGTGATAATATCTTCTGTCCTGTCCGTTTAGACGAGCTACTTCAACAGCATGGCCTGTCGACCAATATAGATATGCTTCCAAAGAATCGATCATTAATTCTTTAACGATGGCCAGGATCGACATGGGTTCTTGATGAGATCCATTTAAATTAGCTCTTGTTATCTAAACGAGAAATATAGACAGATGAATTAATATGGATTAAAATATCTGACTAATAAGATTAAAAAATATAATCATTTGATTTACAATTTGTTGCTTTGGATTAGCCCAATACAATTTTTTCGATATCCAATCGACGGCAACGCTTCCGACAGAGTGAATATTCATCTTCATCTTTTGATGACTCGTGATATTGTAACGATACAATGCAGAATTGTTTCCTACGATGTAGAGTACATCTTTATACCAACTGACATCAACAATATGATAATCAACCTCCGCTTCTTTCAAACTCGCTTTGTATATCAAAGTATCGATATTTTCTCCGGTCACATCGCTCCTTAGGAGACCTTCGTTCGCGGACCACAATATGGACGCGTGCGATCCGTCTCTAGAAAATTAATCAAAAATGATTAATCATAAATGAATATCGATCAAACGTGTTCTTTTTGCCAAGAAGAAGAAGAAACAAATTTCAAATGATTTGATTAATTTTACCTCAATGTTCGACCCCTAAACTCGGTGGACCAAGGTCCTCTGCCAGCGCTCGTGTAAGCTGCCGCTTTAATCGAGTATTCTGATTTCTCTCGAAGATTATGCACAGTATAAGACGAGCCAGCGATATCTTTCTGATGGATCGTCTCTCCGGTAGACTCGTCTTTGATCTCCAATTCGTAAGACCAATTCTGCCAAGCGCCTTTCCCCTGACCGCCCAACAGATGAGGCGCTTGCCAGGAAACTTTCGCCCTCTCCACCCCCAACACAGCTTGCACGCCTGTAGGAGGATTTACGGGGACAGGAACGGGCTGGCTCGCGTCCATAAGTACATTGACACTGACAAATGAACCGTTCGATCTGGAAGGAAGAAACGTTCATTCAAGCGTTCGTATCGGCATCGACGTTGACCGAATAAGAATAAACTTTCGCACCTATCTGGATAAGCATTGTGAAAATATCTGTTTTGTCCCGAATGGTATCCTTCTATCAATACCTCTTCCCCATTCGTCCAATAAAACAAACCGTTCGCCATAGCCAAGGAGACCACGTTCTTGAATTTCGGTTGCTGCGTATTGGCGCGAAGATTTAAAACTTCGCGACCATCCAAAGAGACAGATATTACGGTGTTTTGAATATGATGGGGAACCAATAAACGAAAGTTCGTGTGATCCACGGTGAATGCTCCTAAATCGGCGTCTTCTAGAATCAAATATGGCTGAACCTGCGAAAATTGATCTAAGGTTATTTGCAATTGAATGTTTCGAAGGAGGAAGCAAATTGGTTGAACATTAGCAGATAGAAATCAATTTTCTCATCATATATCGTTGGAAACGTACCTCGTGCTTCACTCCATTGCTTATGTCAGCCAGATCTAATCGATATAAACCGCCTCTGGTGACCCAGAACAAGTAACCGTTGTACGGATCTACCTCGATGTGTGTGGGTCGCGTTAAGAAACCAGCCACGGCTACCGTCAAACCTCTTCCGTCTAAATTGCATCTAGCTATCTGCCAAACCGTGGTCGCGTGTTTCACCTCGCCCAAAATGTACAGGTGAAGGTTTAACCAATCAACGGATAGACTGAGAGGCTTGAAGTTCACTTGGCTGGGGCTAAGTATCATCGTGGGTGTCGTTCGTTTCGTGATTGACGTTCTGTACACGTATCCCAAAGAATCGGAAATGAAAAGCTGCGCGGAGGCTACGTGAATCGCCACTCCTCGAATTGTGCTCGTGTTTTCGTAAACCACACTGGGATCGTCCAACATATCCGCGTCCTGTTTCATAACCACGTGCTGACCTCCAAGAATTAAAATAGGTTGTTGCGTGTCTTTCACTGGAACATGACGAATACTTTTAACATCTCTCTTTTTGGATCTTATCGTTTGGATAATGATCATTTGATCAGTTTGAAAGTTTAATTCGCGCAGCGATGAAACGTACCAGCCGGTTCTGGATTTGTCATGATGTAAGTTACCGCAGGTGGTCCCTCACCAACTCCGTTTCTCATGGTCACGCTAATGGAATAATTCTTGTTCGGTTCAAGATTTTGGAACATGTAGTGATCCGTGTTCTCCGATGCTGGTATATCCTGTCGATCGATTATAAAACAATATTAATCAAACTGTCAAAGTATCTTTCCCTTTCGATCCCTCGTTGGACATGTACAATTGGTATGCGAATAGGAAGAGAAACGCCATGCCAGAAACGTATTTCGTGAGAGATCTGGTTCTTACAAGTTAACAAACTGATGTTATCAGGATCATGAGTAACGATTAATTAATAAAGGTCCATGTACAATAATATGTAAGTATTATTCGATATAAATAATTTTATTTAAAATTTAAAAAACTATGGTTAATCGTATCAACAGGCAGTATCAATATAAATTATAAATATATTCTATAATTTAAAAGGATTAAAATCGAAGAAAACATGCATACGTTCCAAACATGCTTTTACTTATCAATGTACATTATATTTGGGGGAAAGTGTGCAGCCTTGTAGAACCAGTTGCTATTTCGGACAGTGCTTTCTACTACGACAGTTAGAAAGAAGAGAGAAGAGCAATCGACTTTATATCGATGTGCTAAATAATGATTACAACAGCTTAAAGAGAATAGCTCGAGGCTTTGACTCGTGTCAGAGAATAATGAATTTTGTCAATAGTAATAGATAACTACGCTCAACGACAAAAAGATTTCAAGAGAAGAAACGAACGATCGATGAGAGTATCGTTTGCATTATTGTAGTTCTGGCGTGGCGTATACCTTAAGCTGGGAGTGATCAGCCCCTTGCAGACGCAGGACATAAGACAAAAGTGGCCCATTGGGGAAAGGGCCCGGTTCCCAAGACACAGACGCGCGGCAACTGTCTACTGCCACCGCTCTTACAATTACCGGTGCTGAGGTTGGTAAACCGGCCGCGAGCGTTCGTATCACGACGCTTGGAGCGGAGACGATAGGCTCGGGATTGTGCTGAGACGATTTTAAAAGTAACGCTACGCGAAACTGTAATTCAACGGATGAAAGAATATAAATAATCGATATAAATAATGGGAATAACATAGAATACACATATTATTAATAGATTAAATATCTATAATAGATATAGAGAACTTACCCTGTACTTTGTATAAGGTTGCAAATTCTCGACCAAAATCTGATCATCCTCACCCCACGATTGATTTCTGCAATATTGCCATGTCTCGGCCAATTCTTCGTACCTCCATTGCACTAAGTACGAAATGCCTCCGCCACGTCTTTCGATGTCTATTCCTTTCCATTCAAGACGCAAGGAAGTCGCGGTCAACGAGTCAGCTACCAGTGCTGGTGCCGGTGGAATACCTATTTCCGCTGATAACGAGCATCGATGGATATCAGTATCGTTATTGCGTAGAGATCGTATATTTGATCACGAGGATCACATGTAAATTAGACAAAAATCGAATATCGATATTGCGATATTGTTGTTGTTTCCTATTCGACCGTCAATTCATAATATAACCACGTTATTATAGTTATTGTGCATTAACATTATTTAATTTGAAAAAAATTTTTTAATGGAATTTGAAAAAAAAGTCAATGACGAATTACTTTTGAATGACAAAGAGGATGAGACTTTAGATGATTTCGCGGAATATAAGAAAATACTCGATGAACTGAAAGTTTCGTTCTTTGAAAGATGGAAGATTAACAAAGTCGATAACGTTAATCTAAACGATTTCGAACGATTTCGAACAATTGGGACCGGTGCATTCGGACGTGTTATACTCGTGAAATATAAAACTTCTGAAACTTTCTACGCTATGAAAATCTTGGATAAATCGAAACTCGTGAAATTGAAGCAGGTGGATCATACGTACAACGAAAAGAGGATATTAGAATGCGTCAGATTCCCGTTTATCGTCTTCATGGAATTCTGTTTCAAAGACAATTCGTACGTGTATATGGTGTTACCGTATATCAGTGGTGGAGAAATGTTCACGCATTTAAGGCGAATGGGAAAGTTCGAGGAAAATCTGGCACGATTCTACGCCGCCCAAGTTGCTCTTGCATTAGAATATCTTCATCATTGTAGCCTCGTTTATAGAGATTTGAAACCAGAAAATATTTTAATTCAGAATACGGGCTATCTCAAAATAACGGACTTTGGCTTCTGTAAAATGATCAACGGTAGAACTTGGACTCTTTGCGGTACTCCTGAATATCTCGCGCCGGAAGTGATATTGTCGAAAGGATACGGCAAATCTGTCGATTGGTGGAGTTTTGGCGTTTTAATTTACGAGATGAATGCTGGTTATCCGCCATTCTTTTCGCGAGATCCGATGAAAATATACGAGAAGATCGTCGCTGGTAAATACAAATTCGCTCATCATTTCGGTGGAGAATTAAGAGATATTTTGAAGAACATACTGCAAGTAGATCTTACAAAGAGATACGGTAATTTGAAATCTGGTAGCATGGATATCAAAAGTCACAAATGGTTTCAGCCGATCAAATGGTTAGACGTGTATAATCAAAAGATGTTACCTACTTTTATACCGAAATGCATATCGCCTGATGACACTAGCAACTTCGATTATTACGATGAGGAACCATTAAAAGTGGCCACGGTAGATCGTTACGCTAAAGAATTCGAGAAGTTTTAATCGAAAATCGTGATTCAAAGATGACGTGTATTAAAAATACAGATCCTAAAGAGGAAGTATCTTTATGCGAACAAATTTTAAAGATCGTTCATTATAGGTATAATAAAGTGTATATTACCTTTTAATTGTTGAAAGTAACGATTTAGGGCATCGTGACAACCCAGAACACAATACAATTCTTTGGGTGGTAGCAATTCTTGGGTTCCATTCTACAAAATAATGAAATTGACGTTAGGATTGATGTATTATTGCGTTCAGTGAAACGATAGTATAACAGAATAGATAATAGAATGATAGAAAATAATAGAATATATAAGAAAAAGAAAGTGACATTTAACATTAGAATTAGAAATAACTTGTTTTGTACTATACCATATTGTTTTATTGTTTGAATGTACACTATAATTAATGCTTTGATATATACTAATATTACCATATTATTTTAATTTATACTAACGCAAACAGCTTGACAACTCGTATCGAGTGCTCGTTGCCATGCTCCACAGCCTTTTGTGCACTGGAACAAACGGAATAAATGCACATTAGACTGTACTACACAATGTTTGTTACGCGCCAACTTTTCCCATTGTAGAAACACCGTATCACAAACTTATAAGCTTACGATTGAACAATATGTAAAAACATTGAATATATAATTCAATAAATTCGTG